AAGGCCGTTGCTCCATCTGCCTTCGTTGCGTTCACTTCAGCGCTCATTTTCAACAACAACTGCACAACTGAAAAGTGACCACTCTCCGCTGCAAACTGCAAAGCTGTTGTCCCATGCGGATTTGTTGCTGCATCCTTGTCAGCTCCAGCTTTTAGCAACAACTCCACTACGTCCAAGTGGCCATTCTGAGCTGCAACATGTAGAGCCGTTGCCCCATCTTCAGTGGCTGCATCTTTGTCAGCACCAGCTTTAAGCAATAGCTCCGCAACTTCCAAGTGGCCATTCATAGCAGCCAAGAACAAAGCTGTTGCCCCATTTGCCTTTGCTCTTTTCACGTCAGCGCCTGCTTCCAACAACAATTGTACCGCTGCCAAGTGGCCAATCTCAGCTGCAAACTGCAAAGCAGCTATTCCATGCAATTTGGTTACCACATCCTTGTCAGCTCCAGCTTCCAGCAACAATCCCATAACATCAAGGTGGCCATTCTGGGCTGCAACATGCAAAGCCGTTGCCCCAACTTGAGTTGGTGCGTCTTTTTCTGCCCCAGCTTCAAGCAACACTTGCACAACTTCCAAGTGGCCATTCATAGAAGCCATGAACAAAGCTGTTGCTCCACATGAATTTGCTACATTCACGTCTACCCCCATTTCCAAGAACAACTGTACAATTGACAAGTGGCCATTCTCAGCTGCAACCTGCAGAGCTGTTCCCACGTTGAGCTCAGCATGCTTGTCAGCTCCAACTTTCTGAGCCCCATCTTCAGTGGCTACATCTTTGTGAGCTCCAGCTTTAAGCAACAGCTGCACAACTTCCAAGTCGCCATTCATGGCTGCCGTGGGGGGTAGCGCTGCGAGTGTCCCAACCCGTCGCGGGTTAAGGACACGCAAAGCCACTCGCTAGGCAGAGTCCTCAGGGAGAGTACAAGCTGCCTGCAGGGTTCTACGCCGTAACGTGTGCTCTTCGTGTCGGATGTTTCCCATTTGTTGAAGAAGGTCCAAACAAGAGTCGAGAGTCATCCCAGGGCCCCACCCTAAACGTGCAGTAAAGTCGGAAACCGGACGCGGTAGCACCCGCAGCGCAGCGAAAAGCCGGCAGACCCACAGCACATGATCGATGGAAGGGACCACGGGCTCATGGCAATATGGACAATGCTGAGGACGGACAGCAGCATGGACAGTAGCAGGAGTGGACATGCCCCCCACTAAAACGGCCGCCGCCTCCCCGGACACCCGTTTGACAAGCCCTTTGAGCAATGACCCTATATGCTCGGAGTACTGCAAATTCAGCTCACGGCCAATAGCAGAATCACGTCGTTGTCGATTTTGCAACCAACTGTTAAACTGCCAAGACCGCCAAGACTCGCGGAAATCGTGAAGCATTTTCCCAAATTGGGTCGGTTGAGACCGGATGTCCAAACGAACCCCGGACGCGTGCTCCCACACGCCCCACTGGCGAGGAGTCCAGCACCAACGTCTCATCTCAACATTGACTTTACGCAAAATTCTCAAATCAGGGAGAGGAAACATCATCTCAATCCCAAAACGCTCCCACCAGGAGCACAAGGTTGCTAAGACCCTTTGAGTGGCAGGGAACGAGAGATCGCCACGGTGCCCCCAACGAGCCAGGAGTTCAAGATTCCGAGAAGCGCGACCATGTTGGCCACCCATGCAAGCTTTTCGAAACAACACACGCCAAGCTGACGGCTCATGCGTCATGCGACCAGTGATGAGCTGGTTCCAAACCGCTTTATTGGACATCATTGAAGCCGCCACATCGGCGCGAACAGCAATGGAAGACGGCAGCAAACTGATGCGAGAAGCAAGTTTGTTGACTGCCTCAATACGCTCCAATTCCTTTTCATGCATCGCATCGCCACCACACAAGACTGAACCCAAAACAATACCAGACTCATTTGGGTCGTTTAGTGACCAAACTTGCGTCTTAGCAGCATTGCCTCGCATACGTGAGACGCTTTCAAGTTCAAGCCAGGAGTCAAGAACGCCCTGCACATGCTGCCTGTGCACCAAGGAAGTCCGATCGTCGGCATACAAATAATGTGAGCCGGGAACTTGATCGCACAATTTGGCGAAAGGAGCGGCCAAAAAACATGCTAAAGCCAAAGGACTAAACGGATCGCCCTGCGGAATTCCAGTCGCGTTCCTCACAGGACACGGGTGCACCGCGCCGTCGAAGGAGAGAAACTTATAGCGAGAACGCCACTGGGCTCGCAACGCATTGAGAACCGAGACAGGGGCACCCCACTGCTCAAGGATCCAAATCGACACCGGCCAACTGCTCTTATCAAAAGCCTTTTCGAAGTCAAGGGACACTCCAGTGTCATGGCCTTCACACTGCTGTTTCACTTGCATATCGAGAAGCAAAACCTGAGGGTTAACCCCACCCGTACCACCCGCATGTCTACTGCTAAATTTTGATTGCAAAGCCTGACCTAGTTGATGCGCCCTCACGCTGGACCACAGCCGGTAGAGCGCAGGGCCGATGGCAATCGGACGCACTTTCATGGTCGACGTTGCACCTGACTTCACCTCCTTGGGGAGGTACACTACTCTCCACGCCAACATGCCATCCGGCCACACGGCATCTGTCTCACATCGTGTGAGAATGTCAACAAGCTGCAACCAGGCTTGGTTTGGGAGAACAAGCAACAAAGCAGCACTCCAGCCGTCACAGCCAGCAGCCGTCTTCTGAGCTTTCTGAGCAGCCTTGCGCAAGTCAGCCACATCAAGTTCCGGCACTGAAAAACCATCACTTTGCAGGATGAAAGGGTCATACAACCTACGATATTTGTCAACCGCCAAGGTCTCATCGGGGTCACCACAAAAAATCGGTTGCCAATCCTGAAAAAGAGCTTCAACGCCAGACTGCTTACCGAAAACTAAAGTGCCATCCGCCTGCTGAAGCACAGGAGGTGGGGGCGAAGTCTTCTTAACCCAGGCACAGGCGCCAGCCAGTGAAGATACCTGCGCCTTCCAGCGGCGCGCCAGATCCTTCTGCTTGTCTTGGATCACCTGCGTGAGGTCCTTTTTTGCCAAAGATTCTAAGCCTGGCCAATCCTCTTGCTGAATAAGCTCCACACCAACAGGAAATGACCGGACCAGAGACTGCACGAGTCGCGGATTGACCTGCCCACGCGTCGCCTGAAAATGAGCTTCACAAGCTCGTCTGTACACTCGCCGTGCCTGGCGTTCGCGAATTGCCTGCCCAACGCCCTTAGAAGAACCACCCAGCCGAATTTGCGGAGAGCTGCCCAAACAAACTTCACCTTGGTGATCGGACAAAACCTGGTTCAAGGTTAAATATCGTTCAGCCGCCAGATTCCAACATTTCCACAGTTCATTGATGGAGCCGGCTCGCACAAGCTGTTGCCAGTGTTGATGATCGACCGAAACAGAAGACCAGGAAACAAGCTCCGAGAAGGGGCCAACAGGTTCTCTCTTAGCTCTATGCCTAGCAAAGCGCATCTCAGGGAGACAAGGCTGCAATTTTGATCTCCACAGGCCGACAAGTAACGCGTCATGATCGGAGCCATATTTGAAGTTTTCGGCAGCTTCACAGTGAGGGTGGAGCGCCGAACTTGCAACAATTGCATCAATAGCGTGGCTTCCCTTTTGGTGAAGACCAGACGAAACCAGTGTACCATGCCATGCCAGGAAGACATCGGCAAACCTAGACGAAGAAACGTCGACGTTCCAATCTCCAGTGAGAATCCACGGCTTATGCGGAATCTCCGCCAACCAATCATTAAGAACACCAAAGATCTCAAAGGTTGACTTGGGACGTCGATAACCTGTGATCACCGTCAACATTTCACAACCAGGGGCCCCAGCAGTAACCATCAGAAGCTGAGCATCAGAGCTGTGAAACGATTTGACAACAATGCAACTCCAAGGGTCTTTGCAAA